AATAAGTCTAAGAGTTACCTACTACATTTTTTATTTTGTACGTATCTAAAGTAGTGTTTGTTATAATAATTTTATCATTTGAAATCATGGATTAGTCCATGTATGTGAGAATTACGTATTTTTTCTGTAATAATATAAGCAATAGTTGTGAAAGTGTTTTGGTATATCTTTCGAATTTTAATAAAATTATAAATTCGTGTGCTGATGATCAACAAATTTTAAATAAAAAATATTTTTGAAAATATTAACTCATTGAAGAAAAAAATGATAAACTTTAGATTTTTACACTGCGTTCTTTAAAATCGTAATTGTGCATAATGCTTTACTTTTTATACAGAATTACTGATTTCGTAACACTAGTTTATAATTTTTAGTCTCCCCTGAACAATAATACATTATTTTTATATTATAAAAATAATAATAAGCATATACATCATGGTCGAATGTTACACGAATTCAATGCACGAATCAGACATTGCATTTAAACATATTCTTATCTTTAAAATTTGAGCAACATTTCAAAAATTTTATATGTGACAATATATATATGCAAAAGGCCTTTATATTATTGAAAACTTCAAATGTATACTTGTGAAATTATCTTATATCTAATTTATTATTGAAAATTACATTCCGTTTTTCAATATAAATTTTTTCAAACTGAAAAAAATAAGAAATGTTTACTAATTAAGAATTTTTGTCCGGACTGCATTTTGTGTTAATGCAAGTTGTAATGATTCAACAATATCTCCTATTAAATTCAAGTGCAGAGATAAATAATGCTAGTATTCACTTTCCTTCAAATTCTTATGCAGTATTGTGTAATATTATTTAACAAAATATTGTTCATAGATAATATTATAAACTGTGATTCAATTTTATTATTAGGATGTCAATTACTTGTTACAACATACATATATATACATGTATGTATGATGTATGAATGTGAACAGTAAAACTTGAACTTCATATTTTTAAAGCAATGTAATTATTATTACTGTTGTTATTGTTATTATCGTTAAGTAATCTGCAAAAATAATTAAAAATTTTTTAATTAGAATCAAATTTTCGTAAAAAACTTATTATTAACAATTTGTGATTTATGTTTATTTTCAAAAATTATTTAAAATTGTAAAACATTAAAAATATAATAAACAGTAATAACAGGTTTTCTCGAATTATTGTCACATTTTTAATTTTAAATAATAATAAAATAGTTATAATTTATTTTAAAAATTTCATAATATAAAACAATAAAACACAAGTTAAAAAAACATATTAAAACATATAAGAATTGACATATGTCATAATTTTAATATATATATAATATATATATATAATAATATATATATAAAAGATAATGAAATAATAATAATAAAAATTAATCAATAAAAATTAAAATTTTAAAACATAAAGAAATAAGTTAAATTTTATTTTTCAAATTTGCAATTTATGATATAATTAAATTGTTTCACTATTTTTTTCATTTTTATATTTAAAAAAATGCGAAAAATATTTGATTTAAAAAAAATTAATACATACACATACAGCGGTATATTTCCTTCTGCTTTCTGTCTGTAAGATCAAAAATGAAAATATATTTTATTATATATGTTTTTACATTAAAATTTATTATTTACAATAGATTACAATAGATATTTTTTTGTGTAAAATAATTTTCAATTAATTCAAATAATAAGATTTATATAACCATAATATTTCATATAATTCTTTTTTCCTTTCTTTCTTTTCCTTTTTGGATATATATATTCAAGTTTATACAAAAAAATAATCTTATAAAAATAACAACAATTTTAAAATGAAAAAAAAATAAAAATAGAATAACTGGATATATATATAATTATATTACTATTATAATAAAATAATAATTTTTTAAAACAATAATTGTAAAAGTGTAATATCTATACAAAATACTATATTGTCTGCTATAAATAGCATTGTTTTAGGACATTTATTTGGATAGATATTCTGAGGTTTTAAGTAAATTGATACAAGCAAAAACATATATATGAACAATAATATTATATTTATGGTTTATACAGAATAGACACAAAAATTACATAATAAAATTATTTTATATCTCAAGAGAGATGTTCAATTTATTAAAGTTCTTTCTTACTAACCTTATATAGAAGTTTATATTAAAGAACTGTTAATGTATAGTAGACTGTACTTTTTGCTATGCTTTAAAAACATTTTTTTGAACTAATTTTTTGAACTAATTCCAGCAATAGGATTGACTTGAAGTAATTTCATACGTTCCAGTTGTGCAAGTCTGTTTTCTTCATTAAATGATTCTGGTAATGGTGGGAATGCTGCAAGATTCCATATTATATGGTATTAGAGAAACAAGTATTATATTTAAATGTTACTAAAAATATATTAATTATATATATTTTATTAATTATATATATATATATAATATTACAATATTAATCTAAAGAAAAGAAAGAAAATTTTTAATTGTATATTTTTTTTTTTAAAAATTGGATTAAAAGTGATTAGAAATGTATAATAAGAATAGTAGATATGTACATGTAAAATGATTAATATTATTTTTAATAGGTTATATTAGATATTTTAATAGAAAAATTTTTATATAAAAAAAATTATTTTTTTTATATATAACTTTTATATAATAAAAAATAAAATAATAAAAAATATCTTATTTTCTAAATTAAAAAATTGATCTAATTTTAAAATTAATCTGAATTTTGATCTGAATTTTAAAAGTTCATAATAAAATCAAAATTTTTTATATATTCATTGTTTTTCTTAATTAAGAAAATTTATTTTTTGTATATTTTTTGTATATTGTAATATATATAATAATTATATATATTTCTCAATTTGATGTACTTCTATTATTAACAGAATAATTTTTTTTTTATAAAATTTTATGATATATTTATAAATTATATTGAAATATATAAACTATTATATTATAAATTTTTAACACATATTTACATACTTACCATAAATTTTGAGTAATATATATGTCAAAAGACTAAAAGATACACCTATAAGTGCTATTCCAATATGTCCTCTCCACTCTCCTGTTGGGGCTAAAAATTCACTAAATGTTTGACGAAAACTAGCTCGATATAATATTTTTTTTTCTTCTATTGATAATTTCTTCCAATCACCTTTCTCTTTTTCTCGTAATGCCTACATAAAAATATTAAAATAATTAGCTTATCTTACATAATATGATCTACATAAAATATGTAATATTTTAAAGAAATTTTACAATATAATAATATATCCAAAATATAAATTAAAAACAAAAAATTAAGATATTAATATATCTAAATATTACATTGGTGTAAATAAATATTTAAAGATATTTTATAAATAATGTTTAAAAAATTATAAAAATAAATTAAAAATATTATTTATTTTACCATTATATCTGGAGTATTTGCTTTGAAACGAATTGCAGGCAGAGGAAAATCACTTCGGTCTAAGTAAGCTTCTTCACCATTCCATCCATTACCTACTACATCTCTATTACCAATTTTGTTAGGAAATTCTGGCATTGCTGATAATCCACGAACACACATTGAAGTATTTTGTCGTAGATATGATAGCAATAATTTATTTGCCATTGTATGCTAAAAATATATAAATTAAATTAAAATAAAAAATATGTATAATTTTATTATATTTATGTTCTATAATACTGAGATGTATTTTTCCTTATTAATATGAGCTTTTCAAAAATTAAATTTAAAATAATTAATTAATGAACATTAAGAAATATTGATATTTATAAAAATTATGATTTTCTTTTATAATGATACTATGATTTTTATTAGCTTATAAAATATATAGTAATTTTTTTAAAATAATAATTAATAATTAAATTTTTTATTAAAATCATGATTTTATTTATTAATATATATATACAAAAAATATTGTAACAAAATATTAGATTAAATTTTTAATTTGGGAAAATATAAATTTTATTATATATATAAATATATCAAAAAATATATAACACAAATATTAATAACTAAAAATTTTAGAATTTTTAATATGTTATATATTAATCACTGTATTCAGTAGTTATCTAATAGAGTAAGTTTCATAAAAAGAATTTAATTAACAAAATGAAATATATTTATTTTTACTATAGTTAATAGTTTATTAATAGTGTATTAATAATATAATTTTTCTTCTCATTAATACTAATAATTAGTAATGATGTCTATTGCGTAAAATCTTACTTTCTTTGCCAATCCCAACTCCAAGAAAAGCGAAATGGCTACTAACACGGTTAGATCACAGTTCTATGTATTCACAAATGTTTCATGTTATACATTATTATCTATATATATCTAAATATCGAATTTTATAATATCGATATATAATAATCGATTTTTAAATAGCGGTTATTATATTAAATATATACGTAAAATATTTTATATATTTATTTATAAATATTTATATATTTTAATAAATTTTTATTTAGTAAAAAATAATTTTAGGAAATTTTTTTTCAAATTAAATTCAATAAATTTTATTTTATTTTAATATAAAATTTATATTTGTATAAACTATTTTAATCGAATATTATACTTATAACATATATTATTAGACAAATATTATTTTAAATTGAATTCTTTTTCTTGATTAATATTAATTCACAATTTTATAAATAAAATTTTAAAATTACGAAAATTACAATAAATTAACGAAATGAATGTATTATATAAATAATTAAAATAATAAAACAAATTAATATCTTATTTATATAAAATTTAATCCCATTAAATTTAATTAAAATACTTATTTAGTAAAATAAAAATATATAAAATTATTTTCTATAGAATATGAAATATTTAAAATAAATCTACTTTATCGACTAAGTAAATTTATGATGAAAGGATATATGAAACGTAGTCTCTATTTCTAGCTATAGGATCGTTCAATTCGTATGATTATAAACTCGCGGTTGCTTACGGCATGGCGTTAGCCAAGTCGTGTGTCATCGTGCGTTGCAGATGAAAAGTGTAGTATATTTGTAACGCTTTTATTTTACATGTTGTATATTAATGAAAAACTTTTTATACAAATTTTAACGACAGGTGAGGATTTCAGAAAATGATAACATGAGTGCCTCAAAAGAAAAAATGATATTATTCGTGAACGAACAATATTAAAAATACTGTGAGGTTTTGATATGGCGGTAAATTTTACTTTGATAGTTTGTTATGAAGTTCGATCATATTCTTTCGTTATTTTATTAGCTATTCAAATGCGATTGTCTTGTAGTTTTTATATTAAATTTCAACCAAGATGGATTTATTTGCAGTATTACATCCGAAAATTAAAATGCTGTATATTTCTGCATTTTGAAGCACAGTGGCGACATATCATGGCGGCGAAATTTTCTTAAGCTGAAGTTGTGTATCTCGATTATTTTCATACTTAATACGTACGCCTTTCTTTGTAAAGTAACATACTTAGTAAATTAATATATTGTGTATGAAATTCTTTTCATAAAATTTTTGTTTACATCTTGATTTTGTGCAGTCAAGTGATTTAATTACATTGTATTAGTTGGACAACATATAGCTAATTTCTCCTATGTATATCCTGTATATCTCCTTTATAATGACATTATGACTTAGATGTGAATTTATGATACATCAATCTTGTATTAATATAAAATATTGGTATATTTTTGTTTGTATACATGTTTATGTTGCTTATTTTATAAGATTGTTCAAGATGAACAAGCGCCGTAGAACATCTTCAGTTGCAAGTCGAGGAACAGAAGATGATGCTGATGATATACCACCTGAACCAACAAAAAGACGAAAAAAATTAGATCCTGTGAGTTATTGTTATTATTAAAAAATATTGTTAATAAAAAATTTTAATAATATAAATTTAATAAACCAACAAATTTATTTTATTTAATATTTAGAGTGACTTGTGCCAACAATTATATGATGTACTACGTAATCAAAAAAGAGAAGATGGAACATTATTATGTGATGCATTTATACGTGTGCCTAAACGTAGACAAGAACCAGGTTATTATGATGTTGTAACAAATCCTATAGATCTATTAAAAGTTCAACAAAAGCTAAGAACAGATGAATATAGGGATATGGATGATTTAGCAGCTGATATTCAACTTATGGTTAACAATGCAAAAGCCTTTTATATGGTAATGTATATTTACATAATATATACATTGTTTAACAAAATATAGAATATATCTTAATTTTTGAATTTCTTAAGTTATTAAAATTATTTCATCAAAATAGCGTACATCTCCTGAATATAAAGATGCTACTGAACTTTGGGAATTATGTATAAATACAAAAAATCGTATTATGGAAGAATACGAAGATCCAGAACCTAAAGGAAAACTTATTTTAAAAGTGGGACGATTAGTAAGTAAAAATATATATATATATATGTATATTTATCTATCAATGTTTAATATAATGTTAATTATGTAGGCTCGGAAAGCTACAACAAAACAAGAAGATGCAGAAGATACATCAGAAAGTTCTACAAATCCTGATGAAGAAACAATGCAACAATTTGAAGATTTATTTGCAGCAATTATGACAGCAACAGATCCAGCTGATAATAATAGACCATTACATACAATGTTTCAACTTAAGCCATCTAAAAAAGTTCGAAAAATTCTTACTGGTGAAGTATTAATGAATCATTGTTTTAAACAAATTTATTATATAAACAATTTTTTTTTCAGTTATATCCAGAATATTATGATGTAATTGAAACACCAGTAGATTTAAAAACAGTTGCAAGAAAAATTCAAGAAGGAGTCTATAATAGCATTACAGATATGGAAAAAGATTTAATGCTAATGTGCCGTAATGCTTGCCAATTTAATGAACCTGGTTCTCAAATTTATAAAGATGCAAAACTTTTAAAAAAAATTATTACTGCAGCAGCAAGAAAACAAGATATTGGATTAAGCAGCGCAGTTCCAAAAATTGCAACAACTGCACCATCAACACGAAGTAAAAGAGGAAGTCGTACTATGGCGCAATCTTTAATAGCTCAAACTGCAACATTGCCAGATGAAGATGAAGAAAGTGATGATGAAGAAGAAGAACCTGCAGAAACTGAAGAAGCTGATAACCCACAATGGCAATTATTTCAGACTATTAGAACAGCTCCTAATAATCAAGGTATTTTATGAAATTTTTTTAAAATATTACAATATTGATTAATCTTTTCTTTTTTTTTAAAAGGAGTTAGAATGAGCGAATATTTTTGGAAACTACCATCAAAAAGATTGTATCCTGATTACTATAAAACTATTAAAAATCCTATTTCTTTATTACAAATTCGTACCAAGATAAAGGTAAATAATAAAAATAAAAATTATTTTATATTTTATGACTTGTTTTTGTTTAATTTATATACAATAATTTATAGAATATATTTATATATATTATATATATATATAATAATTTTTATAGAAAGGCGAATATGGTACTGTAAGCGAAGTAGCTGGTGATATGAATATAATGTTTGAAAATGCAAAAAAATATAATATTCATACATCTAGATTATATAAGGTAAAATATTAATTAAAAAATTGTATAATTGATTAATTAATTTGCATTATTTATTTATGTTTTTATGTTTCAGTGTGCTGTGAAATTACAAAAAATTATGCAAGAAAAAGTACAGGAACTATTAGAATTTGATCAGGTAAATAAAATTGTATTTAAAATACAAAATATTTGGACGAAATTCAGATAGAAAATTTAAAAGATAATTTTACACAAATTTTACAAAAATTTTAAACAAAATGTCCATCAAAACATATTAAATAATTCATAAATTATTTAATTTTGCACGAGATAAAGATAATTCTATCTTGTTTATAATTTGAAAAATAAGCTCAATGAAAAATAATGAATATTTTTGCATACTATTATTTTTGTTTTACTTTAGAATCTTAATCTTTTTAAATTTTTTATTTAACTTGTCCGAACATCTTTTATTTTAAATTTTAAATATTTTAATATTTTATTCATTTGAAATTTTATTGAATTATATAATATAATATTAATAATATAATAAATTAACAAAAATTTTTAAGAAAATATTTTGATTTATGTTTTATAACTATTTTATTGTAACATTTATATGAGTTGCTAATATAAATTTTTAATAAAAAGATTTCTTACATTAAATATTTAATATATACTTTTTATGGTTTTTTTTTTTTTTATTATATTTATAGGATTCAGACTCGGATAGTGAATTTGAAAATAGCTCTCATCAACCTAAACTTATTAAACGTGCTTCAAATCTGTTAACACGTGGAAAATATAAAGACAATATACCATTGAAAAAAAGATTGTATGCACTAGTTAAATGTGTTATAGAATACGTTGTAAGTAATTCCAATTTTAATTATCAAGACTGAAGTTTAGCAATACAGAGTTTATTACATTACAGTGTGAAGATGGTCGACAACCAATGTTAATGTTTATGGAGAAACCTTCTAAAAAGTTGTACCCAGATTATTATCAAGTAATAGCAGAACCAATTGACATGTTAGCTATTGAAGCTAATATTAAAGCAGAAAAATATCAAAGTGAAAATGAATTAATACAAGATTTTAAGGTATTTTATATATATATATATTTATGAATACATATCATGTTTATTTCATATTTATATTTTCATTTAGTTAATGTTTAATAACTGTCGTCAATATAATGAAGAAGGTTCTTTAATATATGAAGATGCAAATACTCTTGAAAGAGTTTTAATGGATAAAGTAAAAGAATTAGGTCCTTTACCTGAAACAGGTAAACCTACAAAATCAAGTGCATCTACTCCTACTAGAAATGTTGGGTATGTAATATTTTAAGTGTATACATACATAAATTCATTTTTAAAAATATTGTGATCAATATAATTAATCAATATAATTAATTATAATATAAATAATATATACATCATACATATTTTTATAATACATAGGAGACCTAAAAAAGTTGTACCATTACATTTACAAAAATTAAAAACTATGTATGATACTATAAAAGATTATCATGATGGAAAAGGAAGACAATTATCTTTAATTTTTATGAAATTACCAAATAAAAATGAATATCCTGATTATTATGAAGTTATTAAGCAACCAATGAATATGGAGAAAATAGCGTCCACTTTAAAAAATAATGGATATGAAAATTTGGATGAACTTGTATCAGATTTTATACTAATGTTTGATAATGCTTGCAAGTATAATGAACCCGATTCACAAATATATAAGGTTTGTATATTAATGTATATGTATTTATTTTCATTTGATTTCTAATTATTTATTTAAAATAAAATTTTATTAATTTATTAAACTAATTTTTAAAAGAAATTATGTTTTATTTATTTAGAAATTAAATATTATAATTTTTAATATTTATGGTAAAAAAAAAATTGTTAAAAAAATTATTAATTGTTAGCAATTATTGATAATTTTCTCAATCCTCTTTAGTAAGAGAATACAAATTATATTATATTATATATATTGCATTATATCGAAAAATATATTTATTATTATTATATTTATAATTAATTGAAAATAGTTTATAAAATTATTACTATGAAATATATGAATCATATGGAAGTCAGAACTCCAATCGAAATTTCGCGCTAAAACATGGAAAGCTCGATCTGTTTACAGTTATAGTTTTTGAGGTTACCTGAAGTTAGCTTCTTTCGTAGCTTTGTCGTTTCATGTGGTTCCATATAAGGATTTTATAAAATAACAAATGAATTTTTTTCTATGAATAAGTATTATAATAAAACTGGTGCAAACATGCAATTTTATCAAAATAATAAACATAAATTAAACACATGAAAAAGTGTTCAGTGAATATCTATAAAAGTATTATAGATTTGCAAGTTTTTTTACATATATGTATATTATATACACACATATATATATACACATTGCTCAAAATGTTTGAACAAGGAAATATTAATAATAGAAATAATGTTTCTGTACAAAAGGCATTAAAAGTTCGACCTTGTTTTATTCGTTTAATGAGAGATAAGGAAGTAGATCAACGTTTATCAAAAAAATGCAAGAAGAATGAAACAGAAGTAAACAATATTTCTTTTAGAATATTACTCATTTAATTTTTTTTTTAAAAAACAGTATAAATATTATTAACATATTAATGTAAAACAAGATTTATTGATGTTGATATATTTTAAATAAAATAATATTTAACATTTTAAATAATTTACAATCTCAATTATATATATTATATATATTATAGGATGCTTTAATTTTACAAAGATTAGTTCTCCAAACAAAATTACAATTAAGTGAAGATGAAGAAAGTGTACCAGATGTATCGGCCGCAATTCAAGAAATATTAGCAACAATTTTTACTGCTCTTTATAATCATCAAGATGAAGAAGGTAGATGTTATTCAGATTCAATGGCAGAACTTCCAGAACATGATATCATTGATGGGAAAAAGTATGTTTTTTAATTTAAGTAATAAATTAAGTAATAATAATAAATTATCTAATATTTTTATTTTTATTTTATTAATTAAATATTTTTTTTACATAGAATACGAGGATTATCATTAGATTTAATTAAAAGAAGATTAGATCGTGGAGTATATAAACGATTGGATCGTTTTCAAGAAGATGTATTTACATGTTTAGAAAGAGCTAGAAGATTATCACGTACAGATTCGCAACCTTTTGAAGATAGTGTAGAATTACAAGCATTTTTTTTACGTACTCGTGATGAAGTAACTCGAGGAGGAGATTTATTACATTCACCAGCTCTTAATTATACACTTCTTGATCTTTCTGCTCAAGTTGCAGAATTAAAACGTGTGAAATTACAACAAGAATTATCATTACCTAATGAAGATGAAAGTTGTGATGGAAATGAAACAAAAGTATATAAAATTTATAATATTAATAATTTTTTTTTAAAATATTGATATTAATATTATAATAATAAAAAAATATATTTGACGTATTTTTTTAGGATTCTGAAACAAATACTAATACAGAAGGAAGTAATAGTGATAGTGGTGGATCTATGAGTTTTAATCAAGAAATATATAGAGCTGGAGATTTTGCATATATAGAACCTACAGAACGAGGCATGGAATATAGTGTAGTTCTTATAGAACGTTTATGGACAAATGCAGAAGGTCAACAAATGTTATATGGCAATTTATTTTATAGACCAAGTGAAACTTATCATGTAGCATCTAGAAAATTTCTTGATAAGGAGTTATTTAAAAGTGATGCTCATGTAGCTATACCTTTGGCTAAAGTAGCTGGAAGATGTTGTGTCTTAAGTGTAAAGGATTATTTTAGAATGCAACCTGAAGGTTTTTTAGAAAAAGATGTTTATGTATGTGAATCACGATATTCTACAAAAGCAAGAGCTTTTAAAAAAATCAAAGTTTGGAATTTTGATCCAGATCATTTAAAATTAATTCCAAGAGATAAACCATTAGAACCAAAGCGAGTGATATCAGTATATAAGGAAAGATTAGAAAAGCATAAAGAAGAAATTGCTGAGTTAGAAGAAGGAGAAAAATTAACAGAAAAAGAAAGACCTGTAAGTGATATCATTAGAAAAAATATTACAAAATATTTGCAATTCTTAGTAATTATATATTACATTAATTAACTAATTTTGCATTTTTATGAAAATTTTCCTTTAATCAATTATTTTCTTGTAGAATGTAATATTGTATAACTCAGATGATACAGAAAATACTTATTACGAGCAATACAATACGTGTGCAGGTTCTGTAAAAACTGGAGACTTTGTTTATGTTGCAACAGATGGAGGTAGACAACAAATTGCGCAAATTGATGCTATATGGTCAACAAAAGAGTATGTAATAAGCGTTTGTTATTAATTGTTTATGATTGAAGTGATTATATCATTTTTATTTTCAGTGGAAAATGTTATTTTAAGGGCCCATGGCTATTGATGCCTGCAGAAGTGCCACATACTCCTACTAAATTATTTTATAAACAAGAATTATTTCTATCAACAGTTGATGGCACTCATCCTATTGTGGCTATTGTTGGAAAATGTGCTGTTCTTGACTATGGAGAATATATTTGTAGTAAATATATAAAAAAATAATTAAAAACTAAAAAATATATATATTTTAAAAAACTATTATATTTTCATATAAATTTACATATTTATATAGGCCGACCAACAGAAATTCCAGAAGATGATGTATATATTTGTGAATCATTATATGATGAAAGTAAAAGTCTCATGAAAAAACTCGGTCAAGAAGGTCTAAAAAAATTTAATCATAATTCAGCAGTAACTGAAGATGAAATTTACTTCTTCCGAAGACCTATTAATCCAGCTAAGGTACATATAAAATTTAAGCATTTAAATAACATTCTATGCAAAAATTTGGTAACGATATGTTATTTGATATGCCTGTTATTTGATATGCAACTAACTGAATATTGCTTTGCATGCCATGTGTGTGTTATAGGTTCCGGGCGATGTGGCTCAAACGCAAAATCAAATCAAGTCTGTTACTTCTAGTTCAACTCAATTTGAAATGGTAATTTCTATTTTTTACGTTCAATTAATAATATAACAAAAATGCATGTTTTCTGATAATCACATACAAGTTCATATGGAAATTATTATTATTAAAAATTATTGTAAAATTTATTGTTGCTATATATTTTGTTCCAATATATGACTTGTATGTGATAAAGGTTTTGTATTAATTCATATCTAAGCATGTTTCTTATTTATGCCGGCATATTCACTTTTTTTCTGTCTTCTTTTTTTATGTTATGTATGTATATATGTGTATATATATATATATATAAATATATATATATGTATATAAATATATATATATATTTATATCATAAGATACAGGGTATAAATATATATTTATGGGATATCTTTTGAAAATTCTAGAAGCCAAAATAAACATAAAAGCTAGTATATAATAACGTTAGTTGAGATTTATTTATTAAGTTCATGTTAGATAAAATGAATCAAGAATAGTAAAATGATGATGTAATAGAGATAAAATCTTATTTTATTTGCATTTTGCTTTTAATGTAAATTTTAATTGCTTATAATAATATAAATATATTTTACTTAATAATATACCTTATTTATTTTTATATATCAACTTTTGTGTTTATTTTGGTTTTCAGAATCGACCTTGTAAAGATTTTTCATGAATATTAATTATAATATTATCCTGTATAATATATATATGTGTATATATGTATGTAATATATATTATATATATGTATATATAATATATATATATATATATATATATATAATCTATTTTTTTGTGTTTTGTTTATATAAAATATAATTTATATTTTAAAGTTCTATTTTTCTATATAGTACTTATAGAATTAGACATTGTTTTTCATGGATCTAAATTCAGAGCACCTGTTGGGTTTATCTCTAATAATATGTATATATATACATATATGATATATAAATACCACCAAAAAGTCTCGCTTCCATGTCACTCTAACCCAAATAATATAAAAATAAAATATTATGCTTTAAATGGAACGCAAGTACTAATGCCTAAATATCTATAATTTGTTAGAACATATATAAGAAGTTCAAATATTGAAAATTGTATTATTTTTACTACTGTTAGACTTAATGTTGATATCCAATAATAGTGGAATTTTATAATCGGATTAAATCTATTAAAGAGAATTATATTTCAATGAGAAATAAATATTTATATGAATATTTGTGCTCAAGAAAAATTTGTCACTTAATAGCATTATATAAAATTGTTAGTAAAAATTTATTACATCAATTTAAAATATTAAAAAGAAAATTTCATTCGGTAACGGATAATGAACGTAACATAACATAAATGGTATAGGAAGCATCACCATTGTTACCGAAGCTGGAACCCGATGTACTAGGCATGGGAGTAGGATTAGGAGTGGGAGTAGGAGTAGGAGTTGGGGAGGACAGCATGGACGCTGGTGGTCCACCGTCCGTTGGATCTGCAGAAGCTCAACCGGTGCTCTCCAATACTCAAACACCTGTATCAACTAAAAAGGTAGGACTTATCGTGACATTATTTGCTTATAACTTGTTCATATATCATATTTTATTTATTTCATTTTACTTTTGTTTAGAAAAATATGCCAGCATATACGTTTTTTTGTTTTTGCACCATTTAAACTTTGTTATCTAACAATTAGATATTTTTATAAGATCTTTTCTGAAGATATAATATTAATATTTTTTCCTATAATATGTGATATTATAATTTGTGTTTTCTTCTGTTTAGAAAACGGCGGGTAAGAAATTAGTTACGGGCTATATTTTATATTCGAGTAAAATGCGAACGCAGATTACACAAAACAATCCTGAATCATCCTTTGGGGAGATTAGCAGAATTGTTGGCAATGAGGTATTTATTTTTTATTGTTGATTTTTAGTTTTATTATAATAATTTTTTTATTGAAGAGAGAAAGTATACAAATTCAATTTTCAGAATATAATATTATAAAAATGCTTATTGCATTTTATAAAATATTGTATAAGGAAATATATTCTGCATGCTTCTATCTTCCTTTCAAATGCATCACAAGTATAAATTTTTTCAAAGTTAGTTATCAATATTTTTTTCTAAAACAAAAATTATTATTATTCTAATCTTCTTCTTCTTATTCTTCTTTTTTTTCTTATTATTATTGTTGTTATCATTGTTGTTGTTATTATTATTATTGTTGTTATTGTTATTTTTATTATTATTTTTATTATATGTAATATTTTTAAAATATAAATAACATACGATTTATAAATTAATTTAAATATTGAAATACATATTTCATTTTTTTTTATTTATAATATATTATTTATTATTATATAATTTATAAATGACATAAATTAATATTTACATATTATAATATATATCTTTAATTTTCTTCTCTATAATTTATATAATTTAAATTAATTTTCTTGATTATTTCATATTTAATGATGAAAAAGATTTTAAAAATTAATTGTTATCAAAAAATATCAAAATATTATTTTTGAAGAATGTAATATATAAATATTTTTTTATATTTCAGTGGAGGAAATTGCCAGCAGGAGAGAAACAAGCTTGGGAAGAAAGAGCAATTAAAATGAATGAAGATGGAGGACAACTTAAAGGAAATAATGTTTCAGTAGGCACTAATGCTTTGCAAGATGTAGTTTATGAATGTTGTTGGGATAATTGTGATTGGCAATTTGAAGATATGACTGATTGTATTGATCATTGTATTGCAGAACAAAATGGACATGTTCAATCATCCTTTATTAATGCTGCAAGCGGTATGTATTTTATATTATTTTGAATATCATCATAAATAAATAAAAAATTGAAAAATATATTTTTTCATAGATGTGGAATTTCAATGTCAATGGCGTGGTTGTGGCCGCACAAAAAAATCTGTACCTCCTTTTCCAAGTGTACAAAGACTCGCAAGGCATGTTAAGGAAGTACATATCCTTAAATCAAATGGACGTATAATACCTCCTTCGGAAAGAAGCAAGTATGATGTCAAAGTGCTGTATAATAAACTATAATAATACTATGTTAACCGGCTATGGTTTAGCTTCGTTTACCGTTGGTATGTTACTAGTTTTTGAAATTGGTTCCGCAAGTAATCTTTAATTTTATGAATTTAAAACAAACAAATATAAAGTATCTGTCTACAGAGTTTTTTAAATCGATAAACTTTGCTAATATATTTAGGAACTGAGCAAAAAATTATTATCACTAATTTTATTGAAATATGGAAATGATATGAATCAAAAGTAATTAAACATTCAAGTTATTTGATTTATTTAATAATAATTATTTATTTGAAACATGAAATTTGAATGAATGAAATTTACATTTTAAAAAATATAACAATATTTTTCAATAAGATTTTTCCTAATAAATAGATAAAAAGAAATGAACATGAACTTCTCAATCTAATATTTTTTATTTTTTTAGATTTATTTCTTTAAAATTTTTTTGGATTGAAATCAAAGATATTTAAATCGAAAAACGAATGTTTGTATATTGATAGCATATATTAAAAAAATAATTATTAACATCAACAGATCAATTTAATGATGCGAATAATGGACACTTATTTGCATGCATATAATATATCATTTTAAATAATTTGTATAAATTAGTATAAATTAATATAAAATATAATTTCAAAAAAATAATTATCACAAAAATTAAATAGTTTAAATCTCATATATATATTTCATATATAATTTATATCTTTCATATTTCAAAAATGAAGACAAATTGACTTATGGTATATATAATGAATTTTTTTTGAAACATAGATATACTTGTACTTAAGAAAAAAAAAAAAAAAAAATACTCAAAATTTTTTAAAATTGATAACAGATACGATTCCGATTAATAATACATTACTATTGTAATAGTTTCAAATTTATGCAATATATTTTACTTTCATTTACATTTTTTTTTACAGAAATTATATGGCATCAAAAGGTCCAACGGTATTGCCACCTATGGAAACAGGTAATAATATTTTACTGAAATGAATAATTTATTTTTTTTTTTAAAATTCATTTAATATTTACTATAGTAATATTTATAAATATTCTTTAATTCTATATTTAAAATTTTTATTTTCTATCTTTATTATTATTATTATTATTATTATTATCATTATCATCGTCATTATTATTATTATTATTGTTATTATTATTATTATCATTATTATTATTATCATCATTATAGAAACATCGGCAGCTGCGACACAAACAAGCAATATTCCTGCTACCAAACAACCAGAACCTATGTTTGTCGCTGTTCCTCCACGACCAAGTCGAGTTTTACATTCAGATGCCTATTTACGGTAAATAAATTGAATATTTTTACAATTTAATTTACATTATTAATATATATATATAAATATTTGTATTGCAACTATAGGTATATTGAAGCATTAAATGTAGAAAATCGGTACATATCAAATTGGGACAAACAAATGAATGCTAATCCTGATAATACACAAATTCCTGATGTAACGAAATTACCGGCTGAATGGTTAGGCAATGGTGTAGGCAACCACGGAAATGTGGTAAATGCTTTATGGACGCTCAGGAATATGATGATGCGAGATGTGTTAGCCATCAATAAAACTTTATAGTTTATAATTCGTTAAGACTTATAATCTTTACTATTCGATGCTACCTTAAAACTACAATTTTCAGGTCCGTCGATGCTAGATGAAAGACTGAAGATTTATTATTTTGAATGAGTATATTTATATTTTTAGATTTTTTTTTATTTTACAATTCTAATTAGTACTTCAAATATAACTTAATTATAATACATATTTTTAGTCATTTTCAATTTATAATAAGAGATTAATTAAAAGATTTTCTTATCATAAGATTTTCAATAACAAATGCAAGATCTGCAAATATATTTATCAGAAACAATTCAGATTAGTAAAACATTAATTTCTTCATTAAATAAAATACATACTATAAGCATTATTTTCGATACGTCTATGGATCTGTTAGGAGTAGGACAAAAATATTACACTGTAAGAATCATCACTTTGTAAATATTTCGCTATTTTTAATTTTAACTTTTCATAACGAAAATTTTGTATTTTGTATCGCGCATCATGAAATTTGAAATTTCTTGTATTCATACTGTAAAATGAAACTGTACTGTAAATATTAAATAATGCACTTCAAAAAACAATTTAATATAAATAATACTATTATTGTATCTATGAATATTAATCTTATGTTATATAATCATACATTTTAATATTTAATAATATTTTCATTTACTTTTTTAAAAGAATTTTAATATAAAAAAAATATTTAATAATTATTATTCATAATTTTTTTTATGATATTGATTTAATAGCTTCAATGAATAATATTACTAAATTGTATATATATTTAAAGATGAAAATAATTTTTTATAGCATAAAAATGCACAAAAACTCTCGCTCAGCAATAAAATATTCTACATGAAGATAACATAACTAATTTATTTGAAACTCTGCTTATCGATTTAAAAAAATTGTTAATTTATATAAAAAAAGATATTGCATTTATTAAAATTAAAAATACAATTTTATTATATTAATTATAATTAAAATTGATTGTTCTTATTAAGAAATATAAATGAATAATGAAAAAAAAAATTATATTAATTAAATATATATTTATTATAATTATTATTTTATAATAATATTAAATAATATTAAATATTATTATAAATTAAATAAAAATAATATTGTATCTATTTTATTTTATCATTGAAATATAAAAAAATTGATAATTTAATCATATGTTATTTAGCACATTTTAGTTAAAAATTTTTGAATAGAAATGTTTTAAAACTTTGTTTATATATTTTTTTATTATTTCTTTTTATCACGATTTTTTTTATCATAATTTCTATTTATGAAAACGAAAAATATTTTTAGATAATTGTATTAATTAAAATAATTTATCAATGATAATTTTTATTTTAAAAGGATACTTATAAATTTGAATTTTCACATTTTTGTGCAGTTATATTTTAACGATATAGAATATATAATAATTATATAATATATATATATATATATAATATATGTAATATTATACTAAATAATATAATGAATGTAATATAATTAATAATATATTATAATATATAATATATTAATATTATATATAATAATAATTAAGTATTTTTAATTGTTTCAATTTTTAATTTCTTTTTATTATTAATATTTTACTATTTATTTATAATTTCAATTTATTTATTATTTATTTATACAATAAAAAATTTTAGAATTGTCAGAGAAAATAAACTATTTCATTTACTACTAATTATTTCAAAATTTGATCTAGATTATTTTTTTAAAAATACATTGAAGAATAGAAATATAATTAACAAATAAGATTTATAAAAATAGAATAATAAATTTTATAAATTTTAATGAATTGAGATTATGTTTTTGTATTTTTTTATATTTATATCTTCAAATGAAGATGTAAGGTTTTAGATCAGAAGTCGCTCACCCGTCCACCGTTCTGCCAGTCTCCCCACTTCGTTGGATCTTTTTCATTATTTGTTATTAATTCTCCATTATTTGGATCAGTTTCTACTAAAACCAAGTCCACAAAACGTTCTTTTGGTGGTATTCCTATTATTATATCTTTTTATATCAATTGTATTTAATAATTTATGGTAATCTTAATTTCATAAAAATTATTTCATATTTACATATATATGCTGTACTTACTAGGTATAGGTTGCAATTTTAATTTTTTATGAAACTGTTTCATTCTTATTGATTCTTTTTTCTCTAATTTTGCATCTGGTTCTTTAACTCGCAATAAAAAACCTACGTATAATGAAGAAATATTCAATATTTTACAAATTAAAATTTATATATTACATACCTGTTGAAAATGCTTTAGATTTATACATTAATGATTTTATAGAAATTTTATTTATAAAATCAAGCATTCTGATATTAACGTAAAAACCTCTCAAAGAGACTTTTAGTTTCAAAATATCCATATTTGTATATTTTGTTGAAATGATTAATTTATTAATTTTAGTATTCTTTTGTTATGCTTTTGAAAAAATATTTTTTACATATATGATCTGTATATATATTTTTTGTAAATTGTCAAATGTTTTATATTTATTTTTTTTATTATAATTTATTATTTTAAAATAAAAAATTAAATAATATAGAAAATGATTCCTTAATAATAAAAAATATTTTTATATATAAAAATATTTTATTCAAATAAAATTTATTATTTAATTATATTTTTTAAATATAATGAAATTTTTATTACTAAAACATATTTTAATTACATATTTTAATTGCACATCCTATATAAGATATACTATTATATTCATATAATATTGCATTAAAATATCACTAGAAATCTGTCACTCGACCTTTTCTTTCCCAATCACCATATCGTGTTGGTTCTGGTCCACGTGGTCCTCCTATCTCACCTGTTTTTGGATTCATATTATTTGGAAATGGTTTTAATGGTTCTTTTTCTTGATAAGGATGTTTACCTTCTTCGAGTTCTTCTAATTTTTCTGAGTTACATATTAAATATATTTATTTTATTCATTATATTATTATAAAAAATTTTTAAAGAGAATAAAATTACCTATAGGTGTACGTTCTCTTAATTTTTTTCTAAATTCACGCATTCTCGGACTTTCAATCGTTTCATTTTTTTTTGAAAAAAGAAATTGAAATCCTGGAAATAAAATTATTATATTATCGTTTTATATCGTATTTAATTTTGCAAATACTTACGTATATGTAGAAATTTATTTGAAAATTTTATAGTTTCATGATTTATTTTTAGCAATTTAGAAATTATGATATTTGTAGTAAACATAACCTTATTCATTATGCGATTAAAACAAAATTATACCATATTAAAACTATATAAGAATATATAACAAATTTTTATTAGAAATTAATCGAATTTTAATTATTAATATAATTGTGTAATAATAATTATTATTGTACAATTGTTAACATACATAATATATTCTTCACTTTGTACAGATAGATATTAAAAACTCGTACCACAATTGAAAGAATAATTTTAGATATCAAATATAAAAGTTGATAAAAACATTGAGATTTATTTTTAAAATTAATATTTCAAATTTAATTTTAGAATATTTAATTTCCCAAAATGAAATATAAAATGAAATATAAATAAAATGAAAAATATAAAATAATGTATTAATATATCATATTTTAAATACATATTTTTTAATATCTTGAATTATATGTTATTAAATTATTAATGTAACAATATGTACAATTTAATACAATATATTACATTAAAATTTTAGCAATTACAACTTATAATTCAATATTGATAAACTAATTTTTTACTCTTCCTAATATTATAATTCATTTAGTAAAATTAAATTTATTATTTATATGTGTCTATTTTTTGGAAAATCAATTTTCCAAAAATATTTTAACGATTCTTAACATCCTCCATATATATACATTCAATGCTCAAAAAATAAATAAAAATATATGTAATATGTAATAAATTATAAAAGAACTAAAATTAATATTTTATAAGTATAGTATAAATAGTAAAAACTATATATTAATATACCGATGAAGTATTATCGTTAATAACCAAATAAAAAAAAATTTTTCTTTAAATTTATACTATAAATATATAATTTAAATACAAATTGTTAATTTTATTGATTAATTTAATTTTTAATATATAATATAATTGAATATATTAGATAATGTATTAATGTATTAAAAATAAAAGTAATAAACATTAAATTTTTTTATTGTAAATCTAGAATAGCTTATTGTAATCTTTTAACAAAACAAATCAATAAAATTATGTGATTAAAATTTAGAAGAAATAGAATTTATAATTCTGGAATATTATAAATTTTTTACATAAGATAAACTATTATTCGAATATGTCAAATTTTTTAAATTAAAATAAAAAAAAATAAATTCAATTCGACAAATAATTTTTAAAATAAAATTTATAAATATTCACAATATGTATTTTATTATATATATATTAAAAAAAATAAATTAATTTAAAATTAAGAATATTTATCTCTTTTTTGTAAAATTTTATATAACAATGAAAATAACACTGCTTACCAATTAGTATTTATGAGCACAAATATGTTTTACGTAATATACTTTAATACAATCATTCTTGATTAACAGTTTTCACTTATTACCAGAGTTACAATATCTAAATTACATAATTTGTTTTGTTTATCTGTGTGAATTTGTTTCCTTAAATTATATATATATTTCTAAAATTTTATAATATAAACTATATATATTAAACATTAATATAAGCGAATCGTTACCAGCAAATGAAAATCGATATCTTAATATAAATCGATATAATATATTCGATAACATTTTAATATAAAGTAGTTTAACTTAATTATAAATTAATAAAATGTGATTGATATTCTTCTCTATAAAAGGTAAACTAATTAATTATGATTAATAATATTAAAAATATTAATAAAAATATTTTAAACATAATATATATTTATTAAGTTTTTCAAATATGTTATAATTTAGTAAAGTATAAAAAAAGTAATAATTTTTCGAGTAGGCCATGGGAAAATTTTGTATATATTGTAATATATGGTTTATTGTATTAATTTTATATACATTACTTAAAGTAATATTTATTAACAAAAAATTTGTGCAATATTATATATAATTCAAATTTAATTAAATTTAAAAACTTTTTTATTTGAAGAAGTCTTATAAGTGTATTAACCTACGTATTTAAATATTAAAATTTTTCAAATTATAATCTTTTTTTAAACAAATGAAATTAAATTATAGAAAAATCCATTAAAATTAATAAATTTTATATAATTCTGATTAATATAATTATTGAACAAAAAAAATATATCTCTAAATAATAAATTACACTTAAAAATTATTTAAAATTTTTCATTCTATTAACCAAAAAATTAATGATTAATATAATTTTTTATATATACACATGATATTTTAAATATATGAAAAAAGAGAGAAACTAGATTTTTGTTCTAGTTTAATAATTTTATATTTAATAAAATTTATATACAATTTATAATATATATATTTATTATACATATCTTTATTATATACATATTTATATTTTTGAAATTTAAAATGCATTTTATATGCTCTTTAAAGAACACTGCATTATTAAATATATCATATATTCTTCAAAAACAAAACCATAGATCTATGAAGATAATGACTATAAGAGAAGCATTAAATTCAGCTATTGATGAAGAATTAGCACGAGATCCAAGAGTATTTATTTTAGGAGAAGAAGTTGCACAATATGATGGTGCTTACAAAATAACAAAAGGTCTTTGGAAAAAATATGGTGACAAAAGAGTAATTGATACTCCTATAACAGAAGCTGGATTTTGTGGTTTAGCTATTGGAGCAGCACTTGCTGGTTTAAGACCAATATGCGAATTTATGACATTTAATTTTTCAATGCAAGCTTTTGATCGAATTGTAAATGGTGCTGCTAAAAATTTCTATATGACTGGAGGAAAATTTTCTGTACCCATTGTTTTTCGTGGTGCAAATGGTAATGCTAAAGGTGTAGCAGCACAACATTCCCAATGTTTTGTAGCATCATACACACATATACCTGGCTTGAAAGTTATGTCTCCAACAACTTGTGATGATTATAGAGGTTGTTTTAAAGCTGCTATTCGAGATCCTGACCCAGTTGTAATGTTAGAAAGTGAAATGATTTATCATATTAAATTTCCTACATCAGATGAAGCTATGGATAAAGATTTTACCATACCTATTGGTAAAGCTAAAATTGAAAAACCTGGTAAACATATTACTTTAGCTACACATGGTTTAGCTGGTGTGCATACATTGAAAGCAGCAGAACTTCTGGCAGGAGAAGGAATAGAAGCAGAAGTGGTTAATTTACGTTCTCTTAGACCATTAGATTGGGATACACTTTTTCAATCTATTTCAAAAACTCATAGACTTATGACTATTGAATTAGGATGGCCTACATGTGGAATAGGTGCTGAAATTGTGGCACGAGTTATGGAAAATCCAGTATTTTTTCAACTTGATGCACCAGCTGTACGTTGCACGGGTATTGATGTACCTACACCATATGCAGAAAATCTTGAATATGAAAGTTTACCAAAAGACCATCATATTGTAGATTTTGCTAAAAAACTTTGCGGTGTAGCAAAAATATAACTTTATTAATTTAATTAATTTAATTAATTCATAACTTCGAGAATAAAAATTATAGAATAGAATTTATTGCTAAAAAATTTTATAGTAACAAAAATGTAACTTTATTAATCTTTTTTGAGAATAAAAATTTATTTATTATAAATCATTGAATTTATTTTCTATGATATAAAATATGGTTAAAATAATAATTTAAAAATAATTCGAAGATATATTACATATTCAAAATATTGAATTTGCAGAATAAATTCATATTTTTATAGGTTTATATATAAATTTAGAAGATATACTTAATTATATTATATTAATAATTTATATTATTTTTAATTAGGATATGGATATTAAATGAATTTTTACATTATTTAATTAAATCTTAAAATCCTTTTTAAATTATAGATTATTATTTAAAAATTATATATACTTAAAAATTAATGTGTATGTTTCAGAATGTTCAAGTTTGATGCTGTATTGCTGGAAATTTAAAAATTTTAAAATATTTCATTTTCTTGAAATATTTTGTTGAATATGTAGAGTTTTGTGCAAATGGAATTCATTTCATTATTTGATATTTAGGTAGGTAATATAATATTATGACATTGTAATATTATAATTAAAAAAAAAATTTTACTTAAAAGTTTAATTATTATATTTGATAAGCGACAAGTTTTCTTTTTTTAAAATGAATTATATGAGTAATTTATATTACATATAATATAATTCAAAATAATATAAAATATAATATTAAAAATAATATAGTTTTTTATATTAATATAGAATTAATATAGAAAATTAATATATGATATAACATGATAAATAACATAATATTATTTAAATTTGTTTCAGCTACATATTCTTATAAAAGAATAGTTATAAATTGAAGAAAGATTATTTTACATGGATAAAATATATTTTTTCTATTATACATATATATATATATANATATATATATATATATATGTATAATAATATTTTAAATCTTAATTTATATTAGTAATTGGAGAAAAACTTAAACTAAATTTAAAATTGAAATGATTAATTATTAAATTTTAATAGAATAAATATAATCAATATAATATTAAATCAAAATATTATTATATAATATAATAGAATGAATGAACGGAAAAAAATTTTTTGGTTTGCAATTATTAGTAGGATAATAGTTTTAAATTTACAATTTATTTTTAATTTTTTATTTCCTGATCATAATGCAGATGCATTTAAAAGTCCTATTGATAATTCTGAACAAATTTCATCATATGACAATATAATTATATTTTTATTTAATGGACTTACACGATGGGATGGTCAATATTTTTTGCATATTGCAAAATATGGTTATACATATGAAAACACTTTGGCTTTTTATCCATTGTATCCTATGTTAATTCGAATTACTTCTGTTTCCATAAGAAAAATATTTTTTAAATTAAATGTTCATAGTTCTATCCTTATTGCAGCTGTATTAATTAATATTATATGTTTTGTAAAGTCTGCTGTTATATTTTATGATCTTAGTAAAATAATATTAAAGACAACAAATGTAGCTTATATAGCAGCAATATTATATTGTATAAATCCAGCTACTATATTTTTTTCAGCTGTTTATTCAGAATCTTTATTTGCATATTTAACATTTTCCAGTATGTTAAGATCCATTAAATTAGATCCATATGTATCAATTCCAATAGGTTTGTCCATTCTTACAAGATCAAATGGTATGGTTAATGTTGGCTTTCCTATATATTATCAATTGAAAAAATTATTTTATAATTATACGATAAAAGATACAAATTTTTCATTTAAAATATTTTATCAATTTATTTTTAAAATAATTATTTTAAAAAATTTTTGCTTAATATTTAATACAATTATTATATCAATAATTCCATTTATTTTGTTACAAATATATAATTATGTTATGTTTTGTATTCCTAATCAAATATTTATTCCTGAACATATTGTTAATTTCAGTATAATAAATAATTTAGTATTACCTGGTAATAATAATGAATGGTGTTACTTTAAAGTTCCACTTGCATATTCTTATGTACAAAAAAAATATTGGAATATAGGATTTTTGAATTATTATGAGATAAAACAAATACCAAATTTTATTTTAGCATTTCCAATATTGTATATCATGATTAAATGTATAAAAGAATTTTTTTTTGAACACAAAAAGTATTTTTATACATTAGGATTTATTAAAAATATTGAATATAATATAAAAATTGAAAAAAAACAATATCCGATTAAAATGTTAGTATTTATTATTCATGGTTTATTTCTAACAATTTTTTGTATTCTATTTGTACATATTCAAGTAAGTACCCGTTTAATAAGCTCAGCAAGTCCATTAATATATTGGTATTGTGCTTTATCAATATATAATACATTTGATGATAATGATGATAATAATATATATAATAATAAAGAAAATAAATTTTCTAAATGGAATATATTTCTTTTATTAAAAAAGAAATATACTTTAAGAGAAAAACTTATATTTTCTTATTTCTTAGGATATACAATTTTAGGATGTTTCATGTTTTCAAATTTTTTACCATGGACATAATTTAAATGTATACATATATTATAAAGATTTTATAGTTAATATACAATTTTATCAATTTTTTTAAATATAAGCATCTTATAATATATGATTGTATATACAAAAAATGTAACATTATTGTACAAAAAACATTGTTCCAATTATAATTTTATAATTTAATATAAATTATTGTATTATTAAATATATAATTATTATGATTATATTTTATTAATTATTATATTGTAACTTTAAAAATTTGAAATAATAAAAAATATAAATAATTTATATTATAAGTTATAAAATAAATTTTATATAAAAATTTGGAATAAAATTACTTAATTTAGTATTAATTTAAATTTATTTAACGTGAGATTTTTTGTGTTTAAGAATCTCAATTGGTGTCAAGTACAATGTTTGTAGACAATTAGGACATTCATATGCTTGTGCATTAGATTTATGTTTGATATTGTCACAATGTTTTTTAACATCTTTTATATTTGTTTTAATGCAAGAATATTGATGTTGTAATTTTTCTATGCTTGTTAAAATTGCTTGCATGTTACAATTTTGACAATGCCATTCTGTTTTTAAAATTTGTATGGAAAGTTGTTCACTCCATTCAGTTTCTCGTATACTAAAAAGAAAAATTATATTTTTATTTTATAACATATAATATTGTGTTATATATACTTTGATATAAAAATAAAATATATTGTTATGTTACCAATTATATGTAATAATATTTGATACACGAATTCCTCCTTTTACTGAATTAGGAGTTATTACAAAATCTGATTGAAAAGGATTTGGATCTACCAATATATTATTTTTACCATTTCCCACATATATTATTTTAAGATCAGCTGGTAAAAGTCGTTTTAGTGTATATGGAACAGTAGTATGCATATATTCAATTAGTTTTTGAATAAGTATATCCTCAAATTCACTAAGATCTTGTATATCATTACCAATATTTGAATCTATAAAAAATATTATTAAATTTGTTATTATATCATATATTAAAATTATGAGAAAAAGTATATGTTAGATTTTAAATAAATATTTTTTACATATTTTATTATACCTTGTAATCGTTGATTTAATAAAAAATCCCATTTATGTCGTAATTTGGTAGCTTTCATTAGTAAAATTTGACCAGTATCAGGTATAGGAAATTTTAATTCTAACCACGAATCACATACTATTCTATAAAAAACAAGAATATATTAATAACATTTTTTAAAATTTTGTTATATAGTATATTGTAATATATATTATATGCATACATTGAAAATGTACTATTTGTGTCGATTTCACGTGCGAATAGAAGTAATGTTTGTGCAGCTGGCATTCTAAGTGTATTCACTAAATAAGGTTTTGTAGTTTCCAAAAGAGATCTATTAAGTTAATATATCATTAATTAAAGTATAAATTTCGTTGCATTATTTTAAAATATTAAGAGCTTACAAATATGTTAATATTGTATGTTTTGGACTAACAGGAGTTTTATTTTTAAAACCTGGTATTGATACAACATCAACTTCTTCTAATTGTAATACCTGAGGATGATGTCCAAAGAAACTTATTGGATGTAAAGCAATGTATGGTTTCGCTTTTGTGTGAAATAATTGTTCATTCGTTGTCTGTAAAATTATATTATTTATACGGAAATAATGAATTTATTTTATATGTATACAATATTACCTTACAATAATTAAATTCATCAGCAACTGCAAATTGTGGATATAAACCACTGCATAATATTAATTTCAACATAGTTAAATCTTTATAATTACATGCAGTACTTGCTGTTAATAAATTTTGTACTTGATTTGAATCATTTTTCATTCGAAATTCGATATCTTTTATATCAATTTCACCATCTTCATGATCATTATCTTCTAATTGTATATCAAAAGATTCTAGCTTTAATTGTTTTCTTTTTCTAGGTTCATTTTGTTTATAAATTCGTTTTAAGGATTTTAAAAGTTTAAGTTCCCCATGTCTTATTGCACGTTCTGCACTAGACATAGAAGAATTTGATTCCGAAAAATTTCTTAATAATCCACAATCCTGTTAATTACATATAATATAAGAATTATATAAATAAATTTTAAATATAATAAATTAAAAATCTATAATTTACTTGAAGTAATTCTTTAAATTGAGCTCTTAATTTCGTCATTTCGTAAAATCTTTGTTCCTCTAAACCTCTTCTTTTACACCATTTTTTACTATTATTTTTTGTAGATCTAGATTCTTGAGAACTCTGTTGTTTTATTTCTAACCATTCTCTAAATGCATTTAGTAATGTTATTGGATCACCATGATCAGATTCCAATTTTTTTCTAGATGTCTTCAAAATTTTTATTTAATATATGAAATTTAATACAAGAAAAAAATTTATATAAAATTACAATTTATTACCTCACATTCTGAATCTCTATATGCTTTATTTGTAAATGGTGTTTGTATGCTCAAGGCAGCAGCTAATGATAAAACTGGTTCTACTTGATGAAAAATAGAACCCATTATTAACATTTTTCCTATCGTTATATCAACTGGTAAACGTGCGAGTGTTCTTCCAATACATGTTATTTTTTCATTATCTGTTAATGCGCCCTGTAAATTAAAGATATTATTATTTATTTAATTTATATTGTTTTGTTAATGTTCTATTAATTATTATTTATATAAATATATTAACATGTTCTTTTAAAGATATTATAGAATTTTCTATGCTTTCAGGTGAGGGTGGTTCTATAAATGGAAATTTTCGTGCATCTGGAAGTCCCATTGCAATCATTTGTAAAAGTAAAGAATCTAGAGGTACACGTTGTAATTCTGGAGTTGAATATTTTTCTAAATTCAAATATTCTGTTTCAGAATATAATCTGTAAAGAAATTGTTTGAAATTCAATTTAATGATAAAATTTAATGATAAAACACATTTAATGATAAAATCATTATAAACTATATACTATAATTTATTATAATACCTATAACATACTCCAGGTCCAGTTCTACCAGCTCTTCCTTTCCTTTGTTCTGCACTAGCTTTGCTAATCCAAAATTCTTTAAGTTGTTGCATTTTGCATGATGGATTATAACTCATTTCCTTTACTTTTCCACTGTCAGCAACAAATCTAATTCCATCTATAGTAATAGAAGTTTCAGCAATGTTAGTAGATACAATACATTTTCTTATTCCTTCAGGAGCATAATCAAAAACCTTCAAAAAGAAAAATATATAAAAAATATCAATTATATTAAGATTATTAAATTTGATTTTTTAAAAAGTATTTTAAAAAAGGTACTTTATCTTGTTCATTAATAGCTAGAGTACTATGAAGTGGTAAAATAATCCAATTATTCTTTTTTTGACTATATTCTTTTGCTGCATCTACAACTGTATTAATTTCACTCATTCCACTTAAAAATATTAATAAATCTCCTTTTTCATCAGCTGAAAATTTATTATTATAATGGAAATATAATTGAAATTTTTTATAAAAGTTTTTGAATTAAAATTTTTTATAAAAGTTTTTGAATTAAAATTTTTTACCTGAATATTTTTGATCAATCATTTGCATTATTTGTATATAAGGACTTGGATTAAATCTATCATTTTTATATCGAATATCTTCTATAATAATAGGTTTGTATAGTAATTGAATAGGATATAATCTTCCAGGAACCTAAATTATTTATTTTTATAATATATTTTTAGTTTATTTTTATAATAATAGTTTCTTTAGAATTAAATATATATTTATAGAATAATATATTTATTATATATTTATAATTTATATAATTATATAATATTATCAATTAGATAAATATAGATATAACTTTTTATAATATGATATATGATAATATGATTTTATATATAATATAATATAATAAAATATAATTTTTTATAATATGATTTAAATGATTAAATGTACCTGTATTATTTTAACATTTTCTTTGGCAAAATAATTACTAAAAAGTTCAATATTTATAGTTGCAGACATAAGAATTAATTTTAAATCATATCTTTGATTAATAATGCATTTCATAATGCCAAGAAGAAAATCTCCATGTAAGTGACGTTCATGCACTTCATCCAAAACAATTACATCATAAAATAACAATTCAAATTCTCCAGATAACTAAAGGAAATATAGAATATATTAATATTAAAATTCTAGTACTATTATATTTAATTCATGATTAATTTCTATAATTACATAAAATATATTATTAGATATTTATTACATTTTTTATTTTTACCTGTCTTAACAAAAGACCTTCTGTTATAAAAGTAATTTTGGTATTTTGATTTTTTTGTTTTTCAAAACGAATTTGGTAACCAACATCATTATAATTTTCTGTTAATGTCTCAAAAGCAACACGTTTTGCTAAAGATATACAAGCTATTCGTCTTGGTTGTGTACAAGCTAAAAATTCATTATCAAGAAAGAATTTATTTAATATTATAATATTTTTAATCTTAAATATAACATTTTTTTTCTTATTATATATACCAATTTTTTGAAAACCTGCTGAGTATAAATATTGAGGTACTTGAGTAGATTTTCCACAACCAGTATCACCAGCAATTATAACTACCCGTTCTTGTTTTATACTTTGAATAATTTCATGTTTATATTGATAAACTGGTAAATTTGCCTGTGAATCCCTAAGTTTTTTTAATTTAATAAATTTTTCTTTTTGTTTGAAGTCTAAATATAAAATGATTATAGTTTGAAATTTTAATAAGCATTTTTCTGTTAATGTTTCAATTGATAATACATGTGTAAACAATTCATTAAAATTATAACTCAATTTAAAATTTATACAATGTAATTTATGGTATAATTCTGGTACACCAATGGTATTTAATAAAAACTTAGATGAAATATCAGAAATTTTTAATTTTTTTTGTACAATTTCATATTTATTAACAAATTTCCAAAAATCATCAATATCTTGGATTATATTTAAATTTCCTGAGAATACTTTATTCAATTCATGTTTATGTTTACTGAAATAAAAGTCTTTGTAATTTTTATTAGAAATTTCTTGAGAACCATTATTTTTTTTATTTATAGTATCTTTTTTATCATAATTCGTACTATTTGTAAATTTTAGATCATATTTTCGTTCATTATTATATTTATGCTTAAATTTATTATCAAGTTCATATCGTGAATTCATATTTTAATTAAAAAAAATATTTTATTTTATTGTTTTATATAATATAATCATAAAAATATAACATTTTATCATATTCAATATTAAACTTCTTATTTATTACAATTTTTAAAATATAGATATAAATTATACGAATGTTTAAATTTTTTTATAATATAAAATATTTGAATATATTGTTTTAACATAACCTTTAAGTTTTATATTAATAAATACAGTATAATTTTTTTAAAAAACACTTTTTAATTTTAATTCATATATTATTTTATTTTATAAACGAAATTTATTTGAATTAATATATTTATATTTTATTATGATTTATCAAATTTTTATTTAATTTTCTTTAAAGCTACTTGTTTTTCCATTACACTGACTATATTCACTTGTTCTTATTAATAATAATTAAGCAACATAATTAGTAATAAATTTTAAAAAATAGTTAAAATTTAATTATTAATAAGATCAGTATTAATATGTCATTCGTTAATTATCTTAATATAATATAATTCATAAATTATTTTAATTCATAATAATTCATAATAATTTTTATATATATTTTTAAAAAATTATAAACATATAAGTATGTATACATAAATGATATATAATTTAAATATTTTTTTTATAGATTTGAAAAATTAATTTTAAAAATTTTTAAATTTTCATAATATCAATACTTTAATTATGCAAACAATTATATAATATCATAATTGTAACATTTATACAACGAAAAAGATATGCATATTCAAGTTTTATTTAAAATAAATTAAAATTTTAGAAAAATTTATTTAAAAATTTTTTAAGAAAAAATATAAATTTTTATTTTAAAATATAAAAAAAATAAAAGAAAATATCGTTGCAAATGTAAATGTTTATATATATATTTATTGTTATAAGGATATAGAAAAATAAATAAAATTCAAAGTCAAGAATTTTTGAATCTCGATATTATAATATATATATTGTTATTTATAATCTAAAATATTATAATATAAAATAGTAATTAAAAAATAATATTTTAACATTTATTAAATATAAAATATATGTATACGAAATAATACAGTAACTTTTTTTTTAATACAAAAAATTGTAAGAAAGCAATTTTGAAAAAAATATACAAAAATATACAAATTATTGATATCAAATAAAAATATATCGATGCTATCTCCACCTTCGCTTTCAGTATTAGTTTGCGTATTTTGATATATTATTACATATTTTTAAATATTTATCATTGACAACCGTTAAATTTTGATTAACAATCATGTATGTACTTAATGACAGATAATAATGTATTGGCAGATAATAATGTAATTATGGCTATTTTTATAAGTACAAATCGAATTTCTCTGATAATCAATTTTCAAAAGAGAAACTCGTGATTGTATTTGTATATCGAGTTGATTAGCTTTATCACGCTTACTAGATAGTTAATCATTCGATGAGTGTTGCTTCCAGTGTCAACCGATAGTGAATATACCTTGTTGTCTAGAAAATGATCACTGTGGTCCAGGCGAAATTCGTGTCGATGATTATCATTGGCATCGGTAGTTTTGTCGTTGGTGTTGCACCGGCGTGTTTTGTTTCACGTATACGATATCTTCAACAAAAGCTCTTGCTTTCTTGTATTTTGTGTTTTGGCGGTGGCGTTTTATTTGCAACTTCCATTCTACATATGTTACCAGAAACTCGTGAATCTATGATTAATTATGCAGAATTGCTCTTCTCTTGCGGTTTTCTTCTCTTGTATTTTATAGATGAATGTGTTCATTATTTTTGGGGCAGTGATGAACATGTTTTGCAATTACACCAATCACGTTATGAGACTAGTGGAATTTGGAACAATAGAAACGAAGTGTATATATCTATAATATATAATTTTTTTTAAATATATAATAAAAAAATAAAAATTACTTATAAAAAATTAGGAAAAAATTAGGAAGAAATATTAAAAGGATTGAAAATATTTTATTAGAGAATTTAATTTAATAATATTTAAAATAATAATTGATATTATGTAAATATAAATTAACAAGTAAATTTAGATATATAAATCTACAATAAATTTGTAATAGATAAAAATATAAAAAAGATTTCATGAAGATAAGAAAAGAAAACATATAATTTTAATATGCATAGTATAAATAATTATATGGAAATTAAATTGATTTTTTTTTAATTTTAAAATATTAACATAAATCATTAATTAAGATAATATTATAAATTACGAAAATAGATTTCTGAATTGCAGGGATCGATGCCGGAGTTATTCGCATCAGGTAAGGCTATATCGCGATTATATGGATTATCAGCGATTGAATTTAATTTCAAATCGTCTTATTAGACAACTCTAGCTAGAAACGGAATAAGTAGTAGCTGGAATGGCACTAATTACGGAGCGTTACAATATACGCCGAATGCACCAAGTAATTACAATGAGGAGACTTTTTTATGCCATGGTAATCATTCAGAACCATGCATAGATTCCAATACTAATCTTATGGGACTTTTATTGGCGCTTACGATTCATGCCGTTCTTGAGGGACTGGCGATTGGTCTGCAGAAAGCTCTGTCTGAGGTATGCAATGATAAATATTTCTAATTAATATAAATAAAGCAGAAATATTTTTTTTATTGCATCTATATTATAAATTAAATTATAATATCCAGTTTTTAATATTATTTTTATGAAAAACTTTTTCTTAATTAAAATTCTTATTATTATATTTAATATCAATTTATTGTGCTAATATGATATATAATTTTTATGAATTTGATTACATTTCAGGTATTCTTATTAGTTGGAGCAGTTGCTTCTCATAAATTTGTTATTGGATTTTGTTTAGGATTAGAATTAGCTGGTGCTAATAATACCTTTCTAAGACTTATACTAGCGATATTCGTATTTTCTGTTGGATCCGCGATAGGTATAGGGATTGGAATGTTAACATTCAAAGTAAGTAAGAAATATATTTTAATTTTCATAATTTTAAAATATATTTTAATTTTAATTTATTTTTATTGTATTATTATATTTAATTAAACTTTATTCAGATATTTCTTTAAAATATATATTTTTGAAATATTTATTTTAAATAAAAAATTAAATAAAAATCAAAAAAATGATTTGAAATTTAAGTTTAATCGTTTCAATTTTTAAAAAAATTCAAATAAAGATTTGTCAAGAAGATCAGAACTTAAAAAATTATGCTTTGTTATGTATAATTTTACATTGTATAATAAAATAATAGAAAATAAAAAGTTAAAAAAATAATTTGCATAATTTTTATAGATGAAAAATGATTGGACAGAAATAGCTGTACCACTTCTACAAGGTTTAGCAGGTGGAACTTTGCTGTATGTGACTGTTAGTGAAATCATGCCAAGGGAGAGAGCGAAATGGCATAGAAATCCGCGACGTTCTGCTGGTATTCTACAACTTTTTTCCATGATTCTTGGTTTCATTATTATTTATCTTCTAAATAATTACGTGGGAACATGAATCTGCAAATTCGACTTGAAATCAATTCAATAGAATAAATCGATCAAAAAACGAACTTTAATAATAGAGAATCAAGAACTAAAAAAGAAGATAAAAATTACATGAATTTCTGTATGAATAAATTTAGTCAAAAATCTATTTTCGTTTATGTATACGAGTTACATATCTACATGGAATATTGTATTAGGAAAAGAAAAAAAATATTTATTTAAAAAAGATAGAGAGGCATAGAAGATTAATGTAATTGAGTAAGCGAAAAAGAGAGCCAAGAATGAGGAAATAATATCTTTTAAAATATTGTATGAAAATGTAAAAATAGAATAATGCGATAGAATCAATAAAATGTTTTAATTTTCTTTTATTTTTTGTACGTTTACAATTTATTGTTTGAAAAAAATAAAATATGAATGACTATATTAATAGCTGGAATAATTTTATTGTTATGATATTTAGAATTTTATAGAATAGAAATTTTATTTTTGAATAAATTTTCATTCTATATTTTTTTTATTTTCGTATCTAATTTAAAAATATCAAATATTAAAAATATTAAATACAATACACAAAATTCTATAAAATTTTAAGAACACAAATAAAATAAAATACAGAAGAAAAAAGAATAAAAGATAAAAATTATAAATATCAATATATTGCTGCTTGTAATAAATAATTATATCAATAATAATATCAAATAAATATAATTTTATCATGATAATCTTTAATACAAATATGTCATTAATATAAATATCATTAATATTGTCATTAATATTAATATCATTGCTAAAAATGTTATCAATAAAATAAATGGATAAAAATTTCTCAAAATTATTTATTATTGAAAAGATTATAATATCATAATATCATAATATCATATTTTTATTTAATTTTGATGATGCGATATATATCTTTATAAATTATTATATTAAATTTGTATAATTTAGTATATAATATAATATAATTTTATCATTATCATTATTATTTTTCTATTTTCAAGATTAGATTATAATTCTATTTATCTTTGATAAATTTATGAAAACTAAATTTAAAAAGGAACAAACAGTAAATAGTATGTATATGTATATTCGAAACAAAACAAAAAAGTAAATCGTCGAAAGTTTTGAAATAATTATTTCAAACTAAATTCGAGTAATTTATTAATAATAATAGCATCAAAATTTCATTTTCGTTCGACATTTCGAATCAGCCGATATCCTAGATTCTTTTATTATATTTTATTATAAATTGAACTCCATCTTTCAGGCATCACATATATGGATTTCTTCCACGCGAAGAAAAGTTTCTTCGAACAAAAAGTTGAGTTACTGTCACGAAAGACAAGCACGATTTCTTGATACTCGATGGTATCAAATCGGATCAAGTTTACTGTCGTTGTTGTGCTTCTCTATATTATCGCAAAAACTTGCGTTTTGATCTTTTATTAAGAAATTTAAAGTCATCATGTTTTCTCCACGTGAGACACATAAAAGATTTCAAAGCTAGGAAATTTCACCTTCTTACATTGATAAATAATGTTTTTAAAGGAAAAAATTTTAAATAAACTTTCGTTTATTAGATCGTTCTTGTTAAAAATATCAAAAAAAAATATAGAAGATTTGGTTGTTTTTCTATAAAATTATTATAATTTTTAAAATTAAAATCAAGATATTATATTTATAGTATATATTGTATCTATGCAAAAAATATAAATAAAGATATAAATAAATTATTTATAATTGAATAAGAATGAAACAATTAAAATTGTTTTAATTGTTCATTTATATGTACCTAAATGTATATGTATATATGTAGTAAATGAAATTGTATACTTTTTAATAGACTACTTGTGTATTTTTATTATATGCATATTATATATTTACAAATATGTAAACGTACTTTTGTATTTTTATATTATATATTGTATATTATGTATACCTTTGTATTTTTATATATATTGCAATATATTATATATTTTTTATATATATATTTTTCTTTTTTTTCTTCTTTTCCAAAAAAATTTCTTTTTTGCACACAAGTTTATAATACTTTTCAAACAACTAAACATTATCAAATTATTACTGTGTTCATATTTTTCATCTTAGGAATTGTTGACTTTGTCGATAAGTTAGATAATTTTAAAATTTTTTAGAAATCAACGCCATCTCGCGGATTGACGCTAGAAGCTTCGACTTGTTAATAGCAACACAGAATGTGTGAGGAGGTATTCGTGACGTCATCGAGAAGGAAAGCAACATTGTGCGAAAAGGACAGAGAATACGTGCCACTAACTTTGGTTATGCGGCTCCTAATATCCCCCACCATTTTAAAGACGCAATATTGAAAATTGATTATTTATTAATTTCTTACTAAAAATTTCTACACTTTTAAGCTTGCATCTTGGAAAAAAGACCTCAAATAATTTTCTCATATAAATTTTAACCAGAAATTGTTATTAATTAATTATTTATTAATGATTATTACGTTATATGTGGGATGATGCAATCGACGCGTAACGCGTTTTTCACCAATTCTTTATTATTACAAGATTTATTTGTAAATATTAAAGTATGCATTTCAAACGTTACTTTATCCCCTACTTTCACGTATAATTTTTATTCAGAATTTTTTTGTTATAAACGTGAATAAATCAATTCTTTATTACAGATCGAATTACGGATCGAAAATTTGCGACTGCCAGACTTTCTCTAATTTTATTACTAGTTTTTTACTAAAAATTTCTACACTTTTAAGCTTGCATCTTGCAAATAAGACCTCAAATAATTTTCTTATATAAATTTTAATCGGAAATTGTTTTTAATTAATTATTTATTAACGATTATTACGTTATATGTGGGATGATGCAATCGACGC